TTTAAAGCTCAAATGCAACAGAAGTAATAGTATTTCTTATATTAACTTGTGGGTGCTGGTGTTTGTCGATTATTGTGAAGAGTGGAGAGTTATGCTATGGCCCTATTGGGCTGAGGTGGATGGTAGAGGTTCTGGTACTGAAATCGATGGTTGTACTGGAGTGTGCATAAATTCTGTAACGGATTTCTGGGCTATTTTACCCTGCAGCACATTATACAGCTGACATTAAGGTATCAGCTGCTCTAGACCATTTCAGAGCACTGCATCAAGATTTGTCAGGGTGTTCTTCAGTGAAAAAGTAACTAAGTCAGTCCAATAAATCAGTCCAGCAAGTCAGTAATGTCTGTCAAATGAGTCAGCCAGTTATTCATCACACAAACTCACATAATTAGCTTATTCTTTTTAACTGTACTAACTGACATTTCATCTAAGACTTAAACGCTTATACCTTTTCTTGTCACTTTCAACAGCACTCGTATGCCTACTGAGTGCCATGATTGCTTGGCAGATACAAGGTATGGCAATTAAAAGATCAAAACACAATTTACAAACACAGCTAGCTCCTACGAAGCAACTGTACTGGACACACATGGGTGAAGGCTGGGATGGGGGTGGCAGGGGATAGCAGTAGGTCTCCCCCATTGACACAGTGGTCTGACCAACAGCAAGGTAGCAACTTGAGCTGGGGAAATTTGTTCTGCGCCCGCAAACGGAACCACGTTAAGTTAATTTTACAAAGTGTTGTGTAAAATTGTGCTGCAATTTTTCAATAGTTCAATAACCAAAACATGGGAAATAAATCTGTGCAATATAATGGTCTACTGTACATCTTGCTACTTCTACTTACATTTATGTTACTCTACATCTGCATGTACAAGCATATATTGACACACCCCTCTGGGTTTTCTTCTATTTTTTTACTAATTGTTATTCTTGTTTTATTTCCTGCTATCTCCATGCGGAAATGGAACAGAATTCTTCCTCCCTAAGCCATGCGTGTTGTAACAGGCGACTGAAATGCCAGGAGCAAGCGGCTAGTAACCCCTTCTCCTGTATATATTACTAAAGTTATGAAGAGAAACTTTTGTTTTTCTTCATGGGCCACCCTGCTTCAGTGGGATACAGCCAGTTCAGTTCTTGTTTATTTCCTCTTACCTTGTCAGTATTGTATACCTTTCTTGCATAATGTATATACTGCAACCCATTATGCTTGCTTCAGTGATCAATACGATAAAGGCATTCACATTACAGGTTTTCTTTTTAAAATTTTTTAACAATGTATAATGAAATCATCCTCATACACTGAAAGAGTTAGAGGTCAAAATTTCGGTGTACAGTAAATGGTATGTGAAGAGATGTTAAAACAAGTGTTTAATAATATGATTCATGTACACTTTGGTGAAAACCTTTCATGGCCAACACATTCAATAATTTTTGTAATTTACTAATAAACATTCAAAATCTATGGGTTTCATCTTGTTTCTGAACACCCTGAATATTAAACAGCTATTAGAGCTATATCTTATAGCTATGAGAGCTATATCTTATAGCTATGAGAGCTATATCTTATAGCTATGAGAGCTATATCTTATAGCTATATAATAACTATTATGCAGATATATACATATACCTAAGCAATATTGAAATGAGGAATCCCACATGTAGACAAACAGAAAATTAAAGTTAATCTGTGTATTTCAACCTCAGTCTGGGGAGGGACAATGCTTTAGAATCTTGGGCTAACAATAATAGAAAAACCCAAGATCAGCTACTGAAAGAAAACACAGCTCCACAACTAAAAGAAAATAGAAAGTGAGGGAGTCGTACTGAGGTAAAATTGATAGAAATGCCCAAAAGTGACTGAAAGAAATGTGAAATTAGAGTGGTTGTATTTTATTCAGTGATCTTCAAAATCAAAGTGCAGAAAAAATATTAATGAAACTAGGTGGTAATTTGAGCATGCAAAGAGAATGATATAAATGAATAATGAGGTTAAAGAAAAACTGCTAAATGGGCTATATGTCACATCATGTCTTCAATGAAAAAAAGCTGAAGAGTACATATGCTTTAAGGGCATATGTAGGCAAAAGAATTTAAATATGTTTATGGCTTTTCTGGCACTCCCCTTCAATAGGAAAAATATGTATCAAAACAAATAAAAAAAAAAGGTAAAAATTGAACCTGGAAAATTTTCAGATTTCATTACCATTTAACTGGATTTTTTTTGCTTCTTTTGAACATATTTAATGGAATTGCATAGTCAAAAATTATTACACTACTAAGACCTATACTAAAAACATGTTATCTAATAAACATTCATTAATAATAACAGCTACAATGTTAACTGTACATCTGTCATACCTTCAAGCCCAACCTCTTCTGTGTGTCCAACTCATCCAATTTCTTTTGTTTTTCTTCCTTCTTCATTTTAAGGAGATCCTTGTAACTTACAGCCTTGAAAAATAAAAATATTATAAATACCATAAAAAGTAGGATAGAGGAAAAACCAGAAGAGCATTAAAGTGAAGGCAAGAAATGTGTGAGTTTACCTATTTGTACAATAATAGTTGCTGTGCTGGTGATGTCTTAGTTTTTTTTTTTTTATGTATGTAAAGTTTGTAGTAACCACCCTCTTTGTGAAGAAATACTTCTGGATTTCTTTCAGCACTGAGTCTTTAATGCAATTTTTTATCTTTCATTATTTTTGTATTTATAACACAGACACTACACTAAAGCTACATATTCCAATTTAGGTTTAGCATACATTGTGGATAGCTTTCTAACTTATCAACTGACCTGTCCTTTGATTTGCAAGTTACTTCTTTAACTTAATTAAGAGGATTTTCAACAAAGGCAAATGACAGGTCAAGCAGAACATATCTTTTTTCGAAATATAGTCACATTTGTATTTATAATTTTATAAGCTAATCTCTCTTCATATGTTATTTAGGTTAGATTTGGTTTAGTTGATTCAATTATCATTAATTCCTGACTATTATTTTGGAAAATAGAAAGTACCAATGTAGCAGAAGACAATAAAGTTAAAATTGCAGGGATGGGGGGAATATTGTGTTAGAGTGGTTGGTATTTTTGTTTAATATATGTATGAAAGAGGGGAAGGTACCTAGGGATTGGCAGAGAGCATGTATAATTCCTTTATATAAAGGGAAGAGGGACAAGACAGTGATGGAGTGAATGATGGTGAAAGTTTTTCTTTTTCGGGCCACCCTGCCTTGGTGGGAATCGGCCAGTGTGATAATAAAATAAAAATAAGTTTACTGAGTATATCATGAAAAGTGTATGGTAGGGTTATTGAAAGAATTAGAGGCAAGACAGAATGTAGGATCGGATAAGCAAGGAGGTTTTAGAGTGGGTAGGGGATATGTAGAGCGAGTGTTTACATTGAAGTATATATGTGAACAGTATTTAAAGGTAGGGAAGTTTTCATTGCATTTATGGATTTAGAAAAGGCATATGACAGAGTGGATAGGGGAGCAATGTGGTAGATGTTGCAAGAATATGGAATAGGTAATAAGTTACTAAATGCTGTAAAGAGTTTTTATGAGGATAGTGAGGCTCAGGTTAGGGTGTGTAGAAGAGAGGGAGACTACTTCCTGGTAAAGGTGGGTCTTAGGGATGTGTAATGTCACCATGATTGTTTAATATATTTATACATGGGGTTGTAAAAGAAGTAAATGCTAGGGTGTTGGGGAGAGGGGTAGGAATAAATTATGGGGAATCTAATACAAAATGAGAATTGACACAGTTACTTTTTGCTGATGATACTGTGCTTATGGGAGTTTCCCAAAAGGAAAAGTTGAAAGGGTTATGGAAAAGTTTGGGAGAGTGTGTAAAGGTAGAAATTTTAAAAAGTGAACACAGAAAAGAGAAAGGTGTTTAGGGTATAAAATTTTAGATAAAAAAAAAATTTGGGAAATATAAAATTTGGGAGGGGGAAAAAGTTAGGAAAAGAAGTGAGTTTTTTCAGATTTTTGGGGAGTTGACATGTCAGAAAGAGGATTTTATAAAGGGGGGGTTTAAACCACAGAATTAATGGGGTGAGTGGTGCATTGGGAAATATGTGGGAAAAAAAACCATTTTTATGGAGGCAAACAAGCAAAAGTTGAAAGTTATGGTCCCCAAACACTTTTATATGGGTGTGAAATTTGGATTGAAAATGCGCAGTGGAGGGGGCAGGGGGAGATTTTCTTGTCAAAGGGCAAGTGTGGTGTTTATATTATGCAGAGAATTGGGGAGTGGGGAAAATTAAGAAGGCGTGGGGGTTAAAAAAAATTTTAAGTCAGGGGGGAAAGGGGGGTTTTTTGAGGTATTTTGGTCATTTATGAGAATAATCAAAGTAAAAAGGGACAGGAGAGCTTTTAAAAATTGTGGGGAAGGAAGGGGGGCAGGGGCCCCCCGAAAAGGTTGGAGGGGGGGGAAAAGGGGACTTTTTGGGGTGGGAAAGGGGGCTTGGATTTCCACGCATGCGTAAGCGTGTTAAGGGAAGGGAGACTAATGGAAATTTGGGACCTGACAGCTGTTGGAGGGGGAGCGGGTAATATTTAGTAAAGGGGAAATTAAAGGGAATCCAATTTTTTTTATTACCCAAGATTTTGGGAAACGGGGAAATGGAAAGTACAATGCCGCCCCTTTCAAAGGGGGGGTTTTTGGGATTTTGGCCATTTTTGGAGAATATGTTGTGTATCTTTATAAGTATATGCTTCTAAAACTTTTTGTTTCTGGGCCCTCTGCCAAAAAACATGTTTTGTACATTGATTAAAAAGTGTTGAATGATGAAAGTATTTTTTTTTGGGGGGGTTTTTTTCTTTTTTTTGGGGTCCCCCCTGCCTTGGGGGGGGAAACTCCCAAATTTGAAAAAAAAAAAAAAAATTCATCTGAAAAAAATCATTTCAATTTATTATTCGTAAATTACTGTATGTTGTTTGGGCATCAAAAGGAAAAAAAGGGGCTGAAAAAATTGATAAAAAAAGTTTTAAAGGAAATTTTGCAGTTTTTTTGGGGTATCTTCATTGGAAAAATTTTTTTTTGGCTGTGCAAAAGGCTTAATCCATCTCTACAGAGGCAGAAGGTTGGAGATTTTAAAGAAGGGAGCCAGAGAAGAAGTCCAAAAATCAGCCAATAAGGTGGACACAGTTTTAGCAATGAAATGGGCAAATTTGGAGAATAAGCAGTTGAAGCCTCACATAAGGGGGGAAAATTTAACTAGGGGAAACCCCCACATTAAAAGAGGGTGCCAGGGTTAACAATAGTGTTTAAGCGAAAAAACGGGTTTACCAAGATTCATTACATTAAAGGAAATAAAAGCATAGAACAGCCCCCAACTACAAATAAAGGAGTATTTTTATCCCTTTGGTAGGGGATGTAACAAGAAAAAACACACACACGGGTGAAAAAGCAAGCCCTTTTCCCAAACGGGGGATTCTGAATCCCAAATAATTTTCCCAAAGTTGATCATCAAAAATTTTCTGCAGACAAAAAGGGGTTTTAGGCCCCCTTACAGCAATTTTTAAAAAAACATTCCCCAGGGTTTGGGGCCCCTTTTCCCGGGCAACTGTGCTGCACACATTTAAACCAGGCAACAAAAACCCTATGCACCATAAAGTGTTATTTTTTAAAATCATGTGTTCTAGGGAAAGCTGATTTTTTGTTCTCTTCATGTATTTAAATCTCCACTTACTATATATTTTTTATTTAAAGTTTTCTCCCTTTAACCCCTTTCACTTTTCCCGACCCCTGCTCACAAACTTGCTCTCAGTGTTAAGTTTTTTTCAACAACAAAAAAAAAAATTTTTTTTTTTTCCTATGAATGATAAAGAACCCTTTTCCCCAAAATTGGTAATAAAACCCAAAAACAAACAAAATTTTTGAGGGAAAAACTTTGGATTCCCACTCTCATAAAATTAAATTGGTCTCTGCGAAAATTTATTAGCACAATTTTCCCCAGGGCACAAATGTCACAGACTTTTTTGGGGCTTTGGGAAAGGTAGGGGTGTGGGGGGACCGGTGTTTACAGTGAAACATATAAGTGAACAGTTTTTTAGATAAGGCTAAAAGAGGTCTTTGTGGAAATTTATGGATTTGGAAAAGGATATGACAGGGGGGATAGGGGGGCCCAATGTGGCAGATGTTCCCGGGTTGGTGTAGGGGGGTAGGTTACTGAAAGCATGAAGTTTTTTTTAAACGCCGGTGGGGGCTCAATTTAGGTATGTGGGAAAAGAGGGAAAATTTTTTCCCAGTAAACGTGGGCCCTTTAAAAAAGGATGTGTGAGTAAAACCGTGGTTTTTTAAAATTTTTATTATAGGGGGTTGTAAAAGAAGAAAATTTCGGGGGGTTTTGGGGAAAAAGGGGCCCGGGGTTTAAAAAAAGAAAAAGGAATCAAAAACAAAAAGTGGGAGTTGTCTCAGTTGCTCTTTGCTGATGACACTGTGCTCTTGGGAGATTCTGAAGAGAAGTTTCAGGGGTTGGGGGGATGAATTTTGGTGGGGGTGCAAAAGGGGGGGAAAAATTTAAATGAATACAAGAAAAAATAAGGGTTTTAGGGGTAACAAAAAGATTTTTGGGATGAAAAAATTGGATTTAATTGGAGGGGAGAGAGTTTGGAGAGGGTTTAATTTTATTCAGAAATTTGGGAGTGGGCGTGTCAGCGGATGGGGGGCAAAGAAAGATGAGGTGAAATCAAAGGGAATTTTATGAGGGGGGGAAAGGGGGAAATGGTGCGCTTAGGGGGGGCTGTGGAGACAAAAAACTTTTCCCTTTGGGGGCAAAGAAGGGGGGAAAGTTGAGAGTAAAGTTTTTCCCCAAAGCTTTTTATAGGGTGTGGCAGGGGTTTAAGAATGTTGCAAGGGGAGGAGGGAAAGGTGGGGGCATGGGGGATTCTGTTGAGGGGCAATGTGTGGTGTGAATTTTAATGCAGAGAATTCGTAGTTTGGAATTAGGGGAGGTGCGGGATTACCAAAATGTTTTTCCAGGGCTTTGGGGAAAGGGGGTTGAGGTGGTTTTGGACATTTTGGAGAGAATGGAGCGAAAAAGAATAACCCTTTAAAAAAAGTGGGATCAGTCTGAGGGAAGGGGGGCGGGTGGGGTCGGCCCGGAAAGGTTGGAGGGGGGGGGGGGAAAGGAGGTTTTTGTTTGCGAGGGGGGTTTTTACTTCCAGCAGCATGCGTGAGCGTGTTTGAAAAGGGGGAAAAGGAACAAATGGTTTTTTTAAACTTGACGTTGTTTGGGGTGGGGGGCAAAAATAACATTTTGAAGGGGTTTTTAGGGGAAACCCGCCCGGCCCGGGCTTTGGCCCGGGTGGGGAAAATACAGTTTGGGCCCGCCTCTGAAGGAGGGGTGTTAATGTTGCAGTTTAAAAACTTTGGGGAAAAACACCCCTTTGGGAAACAGTGATGGAGAAAAGATGGTTTAAAATTTTTTCCCCTTTTTTGGGCCACCCGGGCCTTTGGGGGGGAATCGGCCCGTGTGATAATAAAAAAAAAAAAAAATATTTTTGGGCCCAAATTTCCCCTGTTTTCCCGTCCCCCAAACTCACGCTATTTTAAATAGAACTCCTTTCATTCTATCGATTGAGCACAAGAAAACCCATTTACCATATTTCAACCTCCTTAAAAAAGTGATCAGAAATTGGGAATTTGGCCAATTTTTACAAAATTCAAGGGAAGGGCCCCCTTCAAAAAAGGGTCCCCGAATTAAAAAATTCCCAAAAATTTCCTAGCACTAAAATAAACATTTTTCCCCTGTTCATTAGTCACGTTTTCCCAGTCCCCTCTTAAAATTACGCTTTCTTTCCCTTTTGAATTTTTTTACACAAAAAAAATGAAAATTTATGTTTTTGCACATACTCCATTAATTTTAAAACTGGTAAAAAAAATAACAGGGATTTGTGAAAGCAAATTGGGCCCAAACAGTTTATATGTATCAAACGCGTTGGGCCCGATTTTTTAAGCTTTTAAATCTCAAAAATCGAAAATTTCTGCTACTTTTTAGCTCAAATTTTTAAGGGACTTTTAGGGCTGTAATCCATTCAAAATCAAACTCTAATTCTTAATGGATCTTTTTTTGGGGCAAAAGAGCCCAAAAAAAACAAAAATTCAACCCCGTAAAATTTCCATAAAAATAAAAACTGCAAAGTCCTGTTTTAAACCCAAAAAACTGTCGCGTTTTTTTTATTATGCATTTCAAACGCAAAGGGGGTTTTTTTTTTGGTGACACATGACCCTCAGAAAAATTTTTAAAATGTGGCCTACCAGCTATCTTCCACAAAAATGGAAGCTTTCTGAATTTTTTGGGTTTGTTTTTAGGGACCCACCTTGGGGTTTTCAAAACCTAAATTAAGGGGGCAAAACAGAAAAAGGGGTTTAAAAATAAAGGGAAAAAACTTGTTTAAAAATTTCCTCTGTTAAATGTGAAAAATGTATAAGTCTCCTTTTTTATCTCAAAAATATCACCAAAATTTGTAATCTGTAAAAAAAGGGGATTTCAACAACTCTAGTGCTAACTTTGATCTAATTTACATGGGCATGATTGCCTTCCCCCTAGTTTGGTCCTGGGTACCCGGGGTAATTTTTCAAAATTTCTTGGCTTTCCCTGTCTTTAAATCCCTTTTCTAAAGCCCCAGGCCCCTTTTTACAAAGGGCCCAAAAATAAAATTTATTTTTGGGCCCCCACCCAGTGACAATTTCCTTTTTAATTTCTGAAAACTTTTTCGGAACTCTGCATACAATTTTTCACCCCTTTTTGCCCCCCTGTGGGTTTGATTGATAAAGCCTTTCTTTCTGCTCAGGCAAATTTTTTTTTTTTTTTTTTAACAATTCCCCCATTACCCCCCTAAACCCGGGCAGGGTGACCCCCCAAAAAAAAAAGAAAATTCCCCCAAAAAAAAAATTTCTTTTCATCATTTATTTAAAAAACTTTTCCCCCAACTCCACATTTAAATCACTGTTTTTGCAGAGGGTGCCATAAAAAACAGTTTTTGAAGCATAACGTATAAAGAACACAAAAAAATCCCCCCAAAAACTGCCAAATATCCCCAAACCCCCCTTTTCCCTTTTAAAATGGAGGCATTTACTTCCCATTTTCCGGGGTTTTAAGTCCGACTTTAAAAAAAATAAGGTTTCCCCGGGAAACCCTTCCCCTAAAATATTAACCCCCTTCACACTTTCCCCCCCAAAAAGAGCGTTTAGGCCCAAGTTCCATTTTTTTCCCCCCCATTCACCCCCCTATTTTAAAAAAACCTTAAAAGCCCAACCCCCTTGTAAAGTCCAACCCCTTTTCCTTTCAAAACCCCCCTTTAATTTAACCTTAAAAAACCCCCTAAAAAATTTTTCCCCTTAAATTTTTTAAATTTTTCCAAATTATTTACTTTTATCCTTTCTTAAATTTAAAAAAACATCCAACAACCCCCCCTCTTCCCCAAACTTTTTTTCTCCAAAAACCCCTTTTTCTTTTCCCAAAACCCCGAATTTTCCAAAACAAAAAATTTAAACCCCTCCCCTTGACCCAAAATCCCCCCCAAAGCCCCCAAACCCCCCCTTCCTTCCCCCCTTGAATTTTTTCCCCAAGCTTCACACCCATTATAAATTTTCCAAAATTTTAACAAACCCCCTTTTTTGCCCCCATAAATAAATTTTTTAAAATCCACAACCTTTTAAATTTTTCCCCCCTCCAATTTTTTTCCCTTAATTTTATCAAACAATCCCTTAAAACCAATCCCGCCTCCCAACCCCCCCGTTTGCTTCATTTCCAAAACCCCCTTTTCCCCCCAAAAATTTTGGAATATCCAAATTTTTCTTTTCCTAAAAAAATTTTTTTGGGTACTATACCTTAAAAATCCCTTTTTTCCCCCATAAATTTTTTCAAAAATTTACCTTAAAACCCTTCCCCAAACTCCCAAAACCCCCCTTTTGAAAAATTTTTCTTTAAATTTTTCCCCCTTTTTAACCCCAAGTTTTTCAAAACAGAAAAATTTAAAATTTTTAATTCCCTTTTAAATTTAATTTCCCCAATTTTCCCACCCTTCCCCCCCAACCCCCTAGGGAAATTTTTCTTTTTAAAAACCCCCATAAAAAATATATTAAAAAATAAAAGGGGTTTTTAATTTCCCCAAAAAAATTTGACCCCAAAATTTGTCCCCCCCTTCCCCAAACCAATTTTTCTTTTTAACCCCCTTTAAAATTTAAAAAATTGTTTCTTTTAAATAAAAAAAATAATTTCTGTGTTTTTTAAATTTTTTCCAAACAAAAAAATGTTTTTTTAAAAAAAAATTCCCCTTTTTTGACGGGTTTGAAAAAGGGAAAAAAATTTACCATCTTTATACCGGGGTTACAAAAAAAAAGATTACAGTGGGGGGCCCCCCCCCTTAACCATCACCTCCCAAAGCGAAAAATTTAATTTAAATGTAAATTTTTTTTAAATGCGTTTGTACGTGTTGTTTTGGGGGCTGAAAAAGGACTAATCTAAATTCACAATAAATTTCCCTTTGGGGAAAAAATTCCCCTCTTAAATAGCACCCGAACATACTTCTGGAAAAGAAAAAATATCGTTAACCGGGGGTCCCCTTATTTATTTATTGAGGGGGAAAAAAAACTTCCCCCCCCTCCAGTTTTATTTGGGGGGTAATATATGGATTCAGTGCTGAACCTCCATTTCCTTACCCCTTCCCGAAATAAGTGTTTGCCCCAAAAGATAAGGGTGCACTTTAAAAAAATAAGTACAATTTACTTAAAAACAAGAGAGGAGCTAGAATGAGCCGTCCTTCCCCCACCCTTTTCCCTTTTTTCCCCTTTTTTTTCATTTTACTATTTAAAATTTGCCCAATTTTAAAAACTGTATAAATTAAAATTTAAACTTCAGTAAATCTTACCTTATTCTTGGGTGGCTTAGCTCCTAATTTTATGGCAAGAGCAACTCTTGTGTTCTTCTTTCTTTTCTTTGTGAAAGCCACTCATCCCCAGTTTGAAGACATCATACCTAGCACGTTTCAGCTCCTTTTCATCCATAATTTGCTGAATAAAAGTATTTGATTTACATATATATTGTACTTTACATGCATACATAACAGTCAATGTACCTGAAATACAAATTATATCAAAGATAAAAATTAAGGAAAAAATGCAAACCAAGTTAACACAAGGAACATACATCTGCAGTACCAGGAATGTATTTAATCCTTTCAGGGTTCCGCTGTACTAGTACGGCCTACGCCCCAGAGTTTTTGACGTACTAGTACGACTAAATTCTAACACCTTCAAATTAGTGAGAGAAAGCTGGTAGGCCTACATATGAAAGAATGGGTCTGTGGTCAGTGTGCGCAGTATAAAAAAAAATCTGCAGCACACAGTGCGTAATGAGAAAAAAATACTTTGTTTTTGGATTAAAACAGCGACTTTGCACTGTATTTTCGTATGGTATTTTGTTGTATTCTAGTTTTCCTGCTCTCATTTTATAGGAGGGAAGACATATTACAGAAATTGAGATGATTTTGACTGGTTTTACAATGAAAAGTACCTTGAAAATGAGCTCAAAGTAGCAGAAATGTTCAATTTTTACAAAGTTCAAAAGTAAACAAATCATGCCAAGCGTCCATTACACGTCAACTGGAGATTCTAATATTCTTTCATAAGTGCGCTGATATTATTTATACCATTTCTACACTAATGCAGTAGTCTGCATAACAGTAAATCTTCTATTTTTTGTAAGAATAAAAATTCAAAGTGGAATGCCAAAGAAATATAAGAGGGGCCTGGGGTGTGACTAACGAACAAAGAACTTGTATTTTAGTGCCAGGAATGTCTTTCTTGTTTATTCTGGACCCTATTTGGAAATTGGCATCTTTTGAAATTTGTGAAATTGGCAAAATTGCTAAATTCTGACCACTTTATTGGATAGTTGAAATTGGTAAATGGGTGGTTTCTTGTACTCATTCGATACAAAAAAAAATGGAGTTTTAGCGAAATAGTTATGATTTTTGTCGACTAGTACACTGGAATTGGCCAAAAATAGGGCTCAAAGTGGGCAAAATCGCCGATGCGTAAACATCGTCGAAACCGCTAACTTCAGGAGAGCATAATTCCATAAGTTTTCTATCAAATTTCATACTTTTGGTGTCATTATGAACGGGAAAAGATTCTCTATCTTTTCATAAGAAAAAATAATTTTTTTTTTTAAATTTGGGGACCCTGAGAACAAGTCTCGGAGAGGGCCTGGGGACCCTGAAAGGGTTAAAGAAACTCATCTGATTTACATATAATGAACTGAAATTAGCTTTATATCAACCCTTTCACTGTCTGTCACATAGTTCTAAGTTATTGACACCAGGACCCCTCACATAGATCTAAGTCTTTAGCTCAGCTCGAGCTCATTCTGATAAACTAAGACCTGAAAATTTTGGCCTGATATGAGAGAATGGTCCCAAGCGATGCATGGTGTAAAACAGCAACTGAAGTGGTTTCTAGGATGGTTATGGTTTTATTGGCTGTTTTTTTTTATATCATTTGATAGAATGGAAGATATCCTATTTAAATAGAGATAATTTTGGTTCCAGGACTGAAAAAAGCTTAAAACTGGCCTCAAAATAGTGCAAATATTCAATTTTTCTGAGGACAGGTAAGGCCATCCCTACATCCTCCAGCTGTGTTATGGGCTTTTACTAGGTCAGATTAAGTTAGTGGGACACTAAAAAGAAACACACACACACACATACAGGGCCAGAAACTGTGACTTGACCCCTGCAACCACAAATAGGTGAGTACACTCACTTTTTCCTTACCTCAGAGGGAGGCTTTTGTACTTCACTGATATTCTCTTCATCAGATTTATAAAGGTTTTTGCTTGGTCCTCTTTTCTTAGAATAGTCCAATATCATCACTTCCTTCTGCTGCTTTTTCTTGGCTAATTCAGCAAGGTATTTGAAGTTCTCTTCTTAGATGTACACTTTTTTGACAGCATGCCTGCTTCCCTTGTGGCGTGATCCCGTTTTTCATATAAATATGCTATCATCAAAAACCCAGAAAACAATTTTTTTTGTAAGTACAGTGGTACTTGCTTACAGTTAATTCATTCGTGACCGCTTATAACTCAATTCTCGTATTCAAATCATATTCCTCTTTGAAAGAAAGGAAA